CAGGGTCTCTGAGGAGAGCAGGGCAGTGGTGAGGCCGTGGCATTGTTGTCTCCTGGGGTTTTCCCATGAATCCCTCATGGACAGTCAGGAATTGATGTGAAATTCCCTCCTCCCACCCCCAAAAAGGGACTTTGGAGCCCTTGGTCAATTCATGTTTAGGAATTTGCCCTCAGAGCCCTCAATCCAAACTCAGGGCCCTGCTTTTCCAGCAGTGTTGGAGTTTCCTTAAAGGTTCCCAAAGGGAAACTCATGCCAGCTCCGTGGGGACAGGGCTGTGCCACACTGGGGTCACTGCAGTGCCTCCTCCTCAGGGGGCCACCAAAACCCTCCTGTGGCCACCAAGTCTCCCATGGCCACCAAAACTTTCCCATGGCCACCAAAACCTTCCCGTGGCCACCAAAACCTTCTCATGGCCACCAAAACTTTCCCATGGCCACAAAAAACCTCCCATGACCACCAAGACCTTCTCATGGCCACAAAAAAACCTCTCGTGGCCACAAAAACCTTCCCATGGCCACCAAGCCTCCCATGGCCATCAAAACCTTCCCATGGCCACAAAAACCTTCCCATGGCCACCAAAACCTTCCCATGGCCACCAAGCCTCCCATGGACTCGGACGTGCCTCTCCTGCTCCCAAATCCCTCTGGCAGCAAAGCTCTGCCTTCCTAGGATCAGCTGGAAAAGGTTTTCCTGCCCTCCTGGAATCCACCCTCTATCCCAAATGACATCACATTTTCAGGCTTTTTTATTTTATTTTATTTTTCCCCCCTCCAATTGCCAGTCCACAGAGAAGATCCAGCCCTGGAATATGAAGGTGGCAGAGGGAAGAGGTCGATGCACAGGCAGGGACGTCCCTATGTGGAAGTTTATGAAAGCTCAAGGCTGTCATAAAAATGCCTTTTAATCATTTCTTTGCAAACCTCGTTGATGTCACTCCAGAAAGGATTAAAACAAGGAGAATGGGAAGGGACTTTTTTTTCCAGCCTGCAGAAAGAATGTGGATATGGTCTATAAAATTAATTTCCTCTTTCTTGCTAACTAGCACTGTCTGAGCTAAACAGCAACACTCTTTATTCCCTGCTCCAAAAATAAAATGGAGGGACTTTTCTCACCCGTGGATTCCTGCAATTATCTTGAGAAGCCTTTTTTGTTGGCAGCCAGGGGTCAAAAGGCAGCCCTGGTTTCACCTGATCTCATTGACTCTGCAGAGACATTCCAGCACAGAGCCACCAGCCCCGAGCACGGGACACACAATGCTGCCATTCAGCCTGGAAAACTCCTGGAAAATCCTTCTCCTGCCTCAGCCTGGAGCAGAAAAGGGAAGAAGAGGACAAAATGTGGAAATGCAGCAGTAATTTCTGATCAAAATTATCTTTTTTTTTTGGGTAAAAACTGATCTGTGTTTTCGCCTGGAGCAGAAAAGGGAAGAAGAGGACAAAATGTGGAAATGCAGCTGTAATTTCTGATCAAAATTATATCTTTGTTTGGGTAAAAACTGATCTGTGTTTTACTCTCAAATGGGAAATTGAGAGGAAGTGTAAATTGAGGAGTAGGGAATGAAATTTGGGAGATCTTGGGAATGTCCAGCTCCCCCTAACCCTGAGTTTTAGCCCTGGATTATCCAGGGTGCTGCATTTTACCTGCCTGGCACCTTCCTGAACATCCATTCTGTAACATCTCTGGGTTTTATCCCCAGCCCCACAGAACCCCAGGAGCTGTTCCCTGGAATTGCTTCCAGGAGCTCTCCAGCACCTCAGCCCTGGAAGTGTCCAGGGCCAGGCTGGAAGGAGCAGTCTGGGAGGGTGGAAGTTGTCCCTGCCCAGGATGGGACCAGGATGAGCTTTTCGGTCCTTTCCAACCCAAACCATTCCAGGATTTGATGATTCCAAAGCTGCCATCACCCCTTGAACCTATGGAATGGATGTAAAATATAGAATTATGATATCTAAAATCAGGTTTGGGTTTACATGATCCTTGTGGATCCCTCCCAACCCCAAATGGTAAAATACATGGAAAATAGTTTACCCTCCATGGTAAAATACAATACAAATCTATATTATAATACACCATTTAATTACCTTATTCCTGTAAATACCAGTAATAATTCAATTTATTTTTGCAAAACTCATGGGAAGTAAAACCAACCGTGGCCACAGCAGGGGGATTTCAAACCTGCCTGGTGGGGATGTGCATCCTTGGGATGAGAGCACAGCTCCACGCTCATCCTGCAGCTCCTGGCTGGGACAAGGACGTGGCACTGGCTGTCACCCCTGTCACTAGGAGAAGGGAAAGGAGACAGGGATCCATCCTGCTGGAAGCACGGAGCCCCCTCCCCGTGCTCTCCCAGGAACCAGAGATGCTTCAGCGCAATCTTTAATATTTTGTGGTGATTTTCAATTTCTAATGTCGTTATTTTGGGTGCTTCACCATTTTATCCCACACGGATGTTTTAATTTTGGTTATCAGCCACCAGTGAAGCCACTCCAATCTGTACCATCAAACAGCCAGCAGAAAGCAAGGATCATCCCCAAAAACATTCCCACCTCACCTTTCATTTCCTTTCCCCCCTCACAGCGTGAGGCAAACCCCAAGCTCGAGGGCAGAGCCAAAACACATCCATTTTCCAGGCATAAATCAGGATGAAGGGGAAATCTGCAGAGTCACGGGAGGAGGAGAGGGGAGGGAAGGGAATTACGCTGCACTTTGGCTCCGGCTGGAATGAAATCCCTCTGCCAGGAGCACTGGAAAGGAGCACGGAGAAAATGGTGTCGCCTTCCAGCCCCTCTTGGCAGAGGCTGCAAACACCGAATTCCGCCCGGGATTCTGCTCCCCGGCCCTTCTTAATGGGCTGCAGCTTCATTAATTGTCATCACATCTATTCCCCTTCGTGTTCCAGCTTTTTTCTCTCAAGCAGGGAAGGCTGGAACGCCCCAATCCCAACTTTTTTTTCTCCTCCCAGGTTGGGATCCCTTTGCTCCCCGAGCAGACAAAAGCCGAACAGGGAGGGGATGTTTGCTGTAAGAAAGCAAAATAAAAGTTACAAATGTAACGATGTTAATGACCGTGTTGAAAAAAAGAAATACAGCAAGCCCGACGTGCAGCATATAATTTGGTTGCTCTTGTAATTCAGAGGGATTTATTTACCAGGGCTCACCAAGCAGAAAAGGGAATTTCTTCCCGTAAATTCCCTACAGAAGGAAAATCAGCTGGGGCTAAAACCCTGCAAACCCGGCCTCGTGTGAGCAGTCTGAAATCCTCTGAAATCCCTAGGATTATGGGCATGGAAATGCCCTTCTTAAAGGAAAAATCAAATTAATTTATCTGTATTTCAAAAAAAACCTCAAGAGTAAGACACAAAGCGCAGGGAAAAGGAGCAAGGAAAAAAAAGAATCCAGACTAAAAGGGAAATAAATCCTTGATGAAAATATTTTATTCTGAAGATTCCATCGCCTTCCAAGCTGTTTTCCCAGTTTTTTTTTTCCCCAGCACAGAAAATAGGCTTAAGAAGAAAGAAAACAGAACACATCCTTGATAAAAAGCACTTTTTAATTTTATCAAATGGATCTGTACAAAAGTTAGCATTGCTTAGTCAGAAGCGAGTGAAGAGAACAGATCAGTAACAACCAAAAGTCTTTCAAACTTTATACAGAAAAATAGATTGCATAAAAATGAGCTTTTTTTGTCTTTTCCCCCAGCCCAGCGTGTCCCTCCCTCTCCCGCCACGAAAGGAAATATGCAAAAAAATATCTTTTAGAAAAAAGAGTAGGAAACGTAGAAAAGGTAAAAAGATGAATAACCTCTGAAAGGTGGGTTTAGATTTACAAAGGCTTTTAAAGGCACGAGTTCCCATAAAATAGATGGTTATTTATATGCTCAGCATACAATGGAAGAAGTAGAAATATATCAATGAAATATTAGTCTAAAAACTAAGTACCCTAAACCCATTTTTTTAGTGGAGGAGATTTTAGTTTCACAGCTTGATGGATGATATCTGGTCCCTAGAAGCCAAAATTAAAGCAGAAGTCGATGGTTTCTCATGGAATTACAGCTCCTTTAAAGTAGTCCTGGTTCTGAAAGCCTCCGAAGACTCCTGAAATCCGATTTTAACAGCCCAAAACAGGTGGCCAGAAAATCACCTGCCCTTTTCAGGCAGCATTTGAGCCTCCCAATTGAATTAGTAATTCCCCCCCTCGTTATTTGACATTCCCATCGGAGTTTCCAGGCGGATTCCTTCAGTCCCTCTCTCCAGCACGGCTCCTGCAGCGGTTCCAAAATGAAAAAAACCCAAAAACCAAGGAAAATCTATAGACTCATAACACCAGTTTATTGTATCATCTCCACTATTTTTTTAGGTTCCCTCCCCCGTCTTTAAAATCTTTTAAAAATTCTACTTTTTTTTCGTTTTGCACAAAATGACTTCATTAATTAAAAGACAAAATAATACACAACATAAATACATATTTAACAGATTAAAAAAAAAAAAAAAAACAAAACCAAAACAACCAAAAACATTTGAAGCTTCCAAAAACAAACAAAAAAACAAACCCAAAATAAAATGTTAATTACAGCCAAACCTTGCTTAGAAGAACTCCTGACAAAAAAATAAAAATAAAAATAAAATCAACAAACACTTCAGACACTGAATTGGTTGGTCCCATCAGACTCTTCCCACGGGATTTTTTTGGGATTTCGGGGCTCATCCCTGTTGGTCCCAGTGAGTTCCTGCCCTCAAGGTTGGTCCGTTCCTCACATTGCAATAGACCCTGAAAGTCTCAAACAGCTTTTTTGTTGTTGTTTTGTCTCCCCCTCTCTCTCTCCACGTTTTGCACTTGGCCAAACTTCCAGGCCGAGCGACTTCGGCTCAGTCCAACGTTTTGTCCTTCATTTACTCAAAAGGCATCGCCGGTCCTTTTCCTTTTGTTTTTTTTTACCTCTTGCTTTTTTTTTTTTTTTAATGTTCTGTCCTTTGTTTGGTTGGTTTTTTTAGGTTTTTTTTTTAATTTCTTAAATCCTACGAATCAACGAAAAAAAAAAACAAAACAAAAAAAATAAGAGCTCTGTCCTTTCGGGGGAGTTTCAAAGCAAGGTGGCGACCAGCAGAAAGTTCCCAGCGGCTCAGGAGGCACTTTGGAACACTCCACGCTCTTCCTCCTCATTCCTTCATTAGTGCATAATTCCAGGGAAGCCTCGGGAGGCTCCGGGAATCCTTTAAGGCCTGGTCAGCGTGGTGTAGACGGGCTGCTCCCAGTTGGCGGTGGGGCTGTGCGCCGGCGGGATGGACAGCCCGTTGAGGATGGGGGTGGCGTAGGGACGGCGCGACGAGTGGAAATAGGGATACTGGTAGAGGCTGGAGGCGTAGCCGGGGTAGGGGTTGTAGTAGTTGGAGCTCTGCAGGTCCGTGTAGTCGCACTGAGAGCTGGAGAAGGAGGCGGCGGCGGCGGCGGCCGGGGCGGCCGAGGTGGCGCAGGCCTGGCCGCTGTAGGAGCCGTAGGAGTCGGAGTGCGCCGGGGAGCCGTGGGGCTGCTCGCTGTAGTGGCTGGGGCTCAGCTGCTCCGTCTTGATGTGAGGCCGCTGCTGGCCCGGCTCGGCCGCCGCCGGCGAGGCCGCGGCCGGGCTCTTGTGAGTCCACACCTGCGCGGCCGCGCCCGAGTGCGCGAAGGAGGCGCCGAAGGAGGCGGCGTTGGCGCCGTGCTCGGCCGGCAGCGCCGCGTGGCCGTTCAGGGGCAGGTACTGGTCGAACTCGTGCACGTCGAAGGTCTCCATGTTGTTGATGACCTCGCTGCTCAGCTCCGAGATGTCCACGTTGCTGAAGTCGATGTTCTGGCGGCCGCTCTCCACCAGGCGCCGGCCCTCGTGTTTCAGCTCCTGCTTGCCGCCGTGGTGCAGGTCGGTTTTGGGGGTGGTGGGCGGCGTGGGGGGTCCGTGGGGCTGGCCTGGGGACGAAGGGACAGCGAGGTTTCAGCAGTGACCACAGAACACCCAGCTCCTTCAATAAATGTGTTGCACCCGTCTGTTGTTGCTTTCTTTGGGGATTTAAATCTGCGGCACCGTGTCGGACACGGGGGATGTCCAGCCCTGTGACCGTGTCCCCCCTGGGATGAGCCTCCCACATGGGACATGGGAGCACGCTGAGCCCATCAGGATCACTCTGGGACACAGCAGGACAGCCTGGCAGCACCAAACCCCCCCAGGGGGTGCATTCACAGAGTGAAGCCCATGATGGAGCTCATCCTCTCCCTGTGGGCTGCCAAGCCCAGCCCGGCTCTCCCACGGCAGAGCAACCCAGGACCATGATCCCAGCACGGTCTGAGGCTGCAGGATGTTCCAGTGCTCCCAGAATCTGTCAGCACGCCAATTCCCAGTGCTGAGAAGCTCTGCCCCGGGACCCGGCTCCCCAGGCACTCTTACTAGCCCATCATACAAACAATTAGCCCAGAATAATTCATTCTCCCCATCCAGGGAGCCCGGGATCCCAGCGCTCTGGCATTCCCTATGGCACAGGCAGCTCTAAGAGCACTCACTAAGGAAAATCACGGTCATGCTCCCAAGCACAGCTCTTGGGACAACAACTCCTGCCTTGGGCTCTGCAGGGCGGGAAGCAGCCGGATCCCATCCCTCCCCAAGGCACAGGGATCAGCGGGAATGCCGCCTTTTACCTGTGTGGTCGCCGTGGTGGTGGGAGTCAGCCATGCCCCCCAGCCCCGTGTCGGCCTTGTAGAGCTGAGTGCCGGCGTGGTGGCTGAGCTCAGCCCCCGAGTCCGAGTCGCTCTGCCCGGCTTTGACGCTTTTCCTCCTCCGGGGCTGGTATTTGTAATCCGGGTGATCCTTTTTGTGCTGCACCCTGAGCCGCTCGGCTTCCTCCACAAAGGGACGTTTCTCGTTCTCGCTCAGTAAACTGTTTTTTGGGGGGGGGTTGGTTGTTTTAGTAAGGAAGAGAGGGGAAAAAAAAAAAAAGTCAAAATTAGGATCTTTTCCTTACAAGTTTTCTTCTTGTTTTTAGACTCGCACATCCCCACTTTCCATGCATGGATCTGAGCACTTGGCAAGTTAACTACAAAATTAATTTGCTGTGGTAAAAAGGAATTAAAATCCACGGCAAAAAAATGGATTAAAATACCAACTACAGCAGCATGAAAAACCCGACCACTATAGACAGGGGTAACTGGGCAAAACAGAATTCCCCTTCCACATTTCTAACACAATTACAAAATATAATTCCCATGTTTGCCCTGCAAATGCCACCCCCTCACCACCACAAACATTTCCAGCTTTGTTTGGTGCTTACAAAGAAACCACCAAGGCACCAGGGATGGGATTACTGCTTTCCAAACTCTCTGCCCTCTGCCCACACCTCTCTTTGCAAACTCTTGGAGAGACTCAGACCGCAGCCGGAGCATCGCTGGCCCGAGCAGGCAGGAAAAGATGGGAATTGGGTACAGGCAGACAGCATGGGATAAACCACACGGAGAAACGTGGCTCGGGGAAGAGCTTTGGAAAGCAAAGCGGGCTCGGATGCTGCTCAGCAAATAAAAGTTTGCATCCCCCGGCAGCGCTGAGCAGATAAGCAGGGAAATTAGGAAGCTCGTTAAAATAACTGCTAAAAAATGAGTTTAGCTGCGTTTATAGCTTGTAAAGCATCAAGCGAGCCAAAAAGGAAAAAAAAATAGGAAAAGCCATAAAACAAGTCATTAAAGAAGTCTCATCGCCTGGGGATGGAGAAGCCGCAGGCAAGGGAAGGGCTTGTGCATCCCCGTGATGGAGCAGGGACAATCCACCCGTGGCAGGAGCGAGGTGCCCAAGCCCCTGCTCGGGGGATTTTTCGGAGCAGGGACCGCTGTGTCCTTCGCGGTGCGGCGGGATGCTCGGGGAAGGGATGGCACCTCCCTCGGAACCGCACCGAGAAGCCCGGATTAACAAAAGCAAAGCGGGCAGAAGCTTTAGAAGCGCTGGGACGGGGGGGTCCGGCCGCGCAGCCCCGCGCAGGACGCGGCGCGGGTCGGGTCGGGTCGGGACTCACCGCCAGAGCTTGCCCAGGGTCTTGCTGAGCTCGGCGTTGTGCAGATGCGGGTATTGATCCGCCAGCTTCCTGCGGGCCGCCTGCGCCCACACCATGAAGGCGTTCATGGGCCGCTTGACGTGCGGCTTGGCTTTGAGCGATCCGTTGCCGCGGACGGGCATGGGCACCAGGCTCCAGTCGTAGCCCTTGAGCACCTGCGAGACGGCGTCGCGGATGCAGGCGGGGAAGCGCTCGTCCACCTCGGCCGCGTCCACCTTGGCGCCCAGCGCGGCGGCGCCCGGCGGGCGCGGGGCGGGCGCGGGGGCGCAGCCCAGCCCCTCGGAGCCGGCGGGGGAGAGCGGCGAGTCCGAGTCCGAGTCCACGTGGGACATGGAGCTGGTGGTGCCCGCGGGGCTGCACGGAGCCTCCAGCGCTTTGTCGTGCTCCTCGGTCATGTTGAGCATCGGCGGGCGGCAGAGCCGGGCCGGCCGTGCGCTGTGCCCGCCCGGGGGTGTGGGGGGAGGCCCGCGCACCCTCCGCGGGGCGCCGCGGGAAAACGAGTAAAAACAAGAAATTCTAGAAGGAGAAAAAAGACACGAAACGCTCGAAACTCAGCTCAAAATCCGCGCTAGCCCCCCCCGCTCCGCAGCCGGTCCTGCCGCCGCCGCCGGGGCCCCGCGCTGCCCGCGCCGCGCTCCACGTCCAGTGCGAAACGGGGCCCCTGGCAACAAGTTACTTTAAGGGCAGGGCGAGCGGCCCCGCCTCCGCCGCCGCCCGCCATTGGTGGAGAGGGGGCGGTGATTTACATAAGGGGCGTGGCTTCGCACGGCGGGCCCGTGCCGCGCGCTCGCCGCCTCAGAGCTCCCGCTCCGCCGGTGGAGCCGCCGCCAGCCCGGGGTCCCGCTGAGGGTCCCGCTGCCGCCCGGGCCCGGTGGATGCCGCCCGCCGCTGTTCCGGCTCCCTGCTCCGGCTGCCTCTTTCGGCTCCTCTGTGCTTTTTTCCGCTGCAAATCGTCCGGGCGCTTCACCGCCGCGCGGTACTGGCGGGGACCCCCCGACGGTGGGGATGTGTTTCGCGCTCCGGCGTGCAGCCGGGCTCCCGCTGTTCTAGCTGGGTACCGGGCAGCGGGTGCGGGATGGAGCGGCCGCGTGCTTTTCCCAGCGCCGCGGAACGGGGGTGGCGGAGCGGTGCCGCGGGACCGCCGGTTATTTCAAATCCCCTTTTCCAGAGGTTTTTGGGGCGGTCGGTGCGTGGCCGGGAGGGCAGAGCTCCCTGTGTGTCCCCCGCAGCCGATCCCCGGTGCCCCCGGGCCGTGCGCTCCCGCAGCCCCGAGCGCGTCGCTCCGGCCCCGCTCTCTCCAACGGGCGAAATCGGGGAATCGCTGGAAAAACAGCGACACGAGTCCCCTCCCCGACTCTCTCCCTCCTCTTTTCCCGCAGCCTTCCCGCAGCCGGCTCCATCCCGAGCACCGGGAAGCTCCCGGGAGGTCCCGGCCGGAGGAGGATGCGGCACCTCGGGGTGAGCCTTTGGATGGGGAAAAAAGGGAGGGTGACCCACAAAATCTGCCCCGTCAGTTTAAGTTGTTCCTTTCCGAGCCAGCCCTGCTATTTCAGCATTTCTTTGGAGCATTTGATTCTAATTATCCGCGGAATTCAGCATTCTAATTGCGATTGAGGGGGGCTTCCCAAATTCAAGTTTTATCTGCTGCTTCCCCCTGGAAAAATAGAGGGTCACGGATAAGATTGACGGAGGAAAAATAAGAAACTGGGCTTCAAGCATTCCAGCGTTTAAAAAGTACCAGGAATATGGTGGTTTTTGTTTAATTACTGTGATGTGTAATAAATAAACCGTATGCTTTGAATTTAAATGTGTTTAAATGTGCCCGAACATTCGTCTGCCTTCAATGTGAAAATTAATTTGTTCTCTCAAATGGCAAGGACTTAATTTTATTTTGTTTTTTCACAAAACCCCAAACTGTAATTTTTCCAGTTTTCAGCTTTCCGTTTGCAGAGTTACTGCCTGACATATTTGAAATACAATTTTCAAAGCGTCTTTAAAAAAAAAAATATTTTAAGGCTCAAGGCAAACTAAATATGTTGGACTTGCTAATTGAATAATTGAAATTTTCTTCTAAAATTTAATGAGATTGGGGATGAGTTTATGTTTCCCTGGGCTGTGGATTGGTGACTTTGCAATGCTGTTGGACACTTGGGAAAATCTTTTCCCCTCTCCTGTGACCTGTAATTAATGCATATTCCTATAAATCCTGTCTCATTGGGCAATTTACCTTGACTCACAGAATTCCAGTGTTTCATCTGTTTTAGCCAGGGGTGAGTCCAAGCAATAATCACTATTTTTAGTCCATTTTTTCCTAATCCAGCCCCTCCTGCGGAGCACCTTCCTCGGAAGATCCCAACCTCAGTGCGTGACTGAGGCTGGGAAGGGATTTGTGGGATGCTCGGAGTTTTGGAGGTAGGAATGGGAACAAGAACCCCTTTTTTCTGCTGCCTGTGTTCAGCTCCAAAGATTCCTGCAAAAGAAGCCCCCAAGGACAGGAGGAATTACAGACTTTGGTTTTCTTCCCTGCTCGCTGCTGCCTTCCAGGGCTCCCCAGCCCTGCCTGAGGCAGGGAATCGCATTTCCCAGCCCACAGGTTTGAATTCTTCTTTGTGCAGCACAGGTAGAAGGAGGAAGGTGACTTTGGGTGGCTGTTTCCTCTTGTTCCAGAGATGGGCTCGGGGATGAGGCCGTGCCTGGCAGCGGGGCAGGGAACGTGTCCTGCTGCACGTCCCTGATCCCGCACGAACCATTCCGTGTTCCCGACTCACTCCTCGGGAGATGGAGCACAATTCCCTGGCCTCACACAGCCAGAACACAGGGAAAGGAGGGAGCTGGAGCACCTGGAGGTGCTCGGGAGCTCTGGTTTCCTGAGAAGCTCACTCAGCCATGAAATGGAATGAGATAATGCTCAGGGAACAAGTGGGTTCAAGTGGGGCCGTTTGTCCTGCGGGGGGTCTCGTGGCCGGATTTTTGTATGACAAAGGATGGGGATGTTTGCCCAGGGATGGGCACAGGCTGGAGCTGCAGGGCAGGATCCCACAGGCTGTGTCATCCTGGCCTGACACAGCAGGCCCTGACATCAGCATTCCCAGGAAAAAGGTGCAGATTTGGGAGGGAACAACCCAGGTTCCTGTGGCCCAGTGGAGCCTTTAGGAGTGCACCCAGTTCAGAGAGGATTTGGGGGAACAGATCCAGCTCTTCCTGACAGAGTGGGCACGGCAGAGGTTGATATTTGGAATATTGCTTCATTTTCTGACGTGGCCTCCGAGAAAGTTCCTGGCCAGCTCAGCCAGTGTTTCTGGGAATCAGGCAGTAAATCCAAGGTCTGTGTGCCTGGCTCCATCACATTCCCACCTGGGAATTCTCAGCACCCCTGTGGGATGGAGGCTGCTCCACCTCCCACCCCAGTTCCTCTGCTCTGTACTCCTTCCTCCTGCAGGAATAAGAGCATGTGTGCATTGGCTCCAGAGCAGGCAGAGCCCTGCTTGTGCCAGGAAGGAAAAATTTCCTTTCCAGTGGCAGCCAGGGAAAGCATTTTTAGAGGATGAGAGCACATGGAATCTCTGGATGTGCTCTGGGATGCAGGATCAAAACCCACCCGTGTATGAATTACACATTAAATGTCAGGTGAGGTGTTGGATCTCTTCATTCCTCCTGCACAGCACAGCCTGGATGGCATCTTTTCAAAATAAGGGGTATTACTGTAATTATGATTATTATGATTATTAATTGCTTGTCCTATGGTACCACTTAAGGATCCCTCTTCTGAACCAGCCCCTACTCATTAACCTGCAGAAATACACAACAAAAAAAAAAGGTGATTCTTCCTCTAAAAATCCTTTCCAGCCTTAATCCTGGAGTTAAAGATCAGATTTCCACAGGGAAAATTGGGGATTTTAAAGGGGAGAATTATTACTGCTGGGAAAAAATGGCTTAGCAGAGGGAAGCTCCCAAATTCTCTGAGGTACCCATGTCCCCTTCAGCAGGCGCAGCTGAGTGCCCGGTGTGTGCCTGCATTATCCACAGCTGCATGTCTGCTCTCTTCAGAGGAGCCCCCCGTGCTCATGCTGCCTCCCAAGCTCCTGATTTCAGCTTTCTCTGCTCCCTTTCAACCCAAATCCTGGCAGCCAGAGGGGAGAAAGGCCAGAGCTGAATGAACACAGAGCGATTTCGGGTGCCAGGGCCAGCCAGCGGGGTTGGGGTGCCGCTGGGGACAGCTGCTGGCTGCTGTGACAGTAAAGGCTTGTTCCCCTGGCACTCCTGCAGCTGGTTTGGAACACAGCAAAATAGGGGACGTGGCGTTGGGGGCGGCTTGGTGAATGAAGATGAGCATCAATGATGGCCCTGCCCGCCTGGCATTCATGAATCGCCTTCCCCTGGAGGCTTGAAAGGCTCCAAAGCTCGCTCTGAAGTACCTTGTCTGAGTTATTTTTGCTCGGGGTTTTTGCGCTGTTTTCTTTGCTCAAGTTGCCGGGTTAAAATAAAAGAAGAAATCGAGAAGTGAGCGGAAAAGGCAGCACAGGTGATGGTCCCCACAAAGGGATTCGTGGAATCACGGAATATCTGAGCTGGGAGGGACACACAAATATCCTCGAGTCACATTTGGGACAGAAAAGACGTCATTTGGTGTCCTAATCAACTGGTTTATCACATGTTTTTCTTTCTAGTCTGAATCATCTTCCAGGAAAGCCAGGAAAGGCTTCCACTGCCTGTTATGTGAATGGAGTCCTTTTTGGTTTCACACATTTCTGCTGCTTTAGGCTTAAAATTTACAGCTTGTCCTGATGGAAGGTGCTCCTGGTCCACGATGCGGCACATCTCAGAGTGACCCTCGGCAGTGAAAACCGACCCGGCTCAGCATTCCCCTCCCAGCCCCACTTATTCCTCCCTTTTTGCTAAGCTTTAGCCTAAACCCTCCACTTTCCCGCAGTAATTTCCTCAATTATCCAGTTTGTTTAACAGACACCCCCGTTTAATGTGGAATTTGCTGTAAAAGACCCCACAAAGGAAACCATTAGCTCCCATCTATTTAAATTTTCCTCTCCAAACCTCGTGGTGGCCGATCCAGAGCTGCAGTATTCCAGTGGCCTTTAACAAACAGCTGATTTTTCCTTCCCTATACAATGCACCATTATGTGGCATTTTTTTTTCTATTTTTTTTTTTTTCTCCTACGGAGAACAATGCGAGCAGCAGTGATGGGAAACTGGAAAAACAAAAGGGGCATTTAGAAGGGACTGGTTTAGAGGCTGGGAAGTGTTGAATAATGTTACACCTGATAGCAGATCGTTTCTCAGTGATCAGCACCGAGGTGTTTACTAAGGGGATACTCAATGTATGTTTACGCTCAAAAATGCTATTTATGAACTCCACGCAGCCAGATGTTTGATGTCTGTAAATTATTTAAAGTAAAAATCATGGCGGCATCACAAGCAGTGAATTTAGATGGGATTTTAGGAGGAAATCCTTCCCTGTGAGGGTGGAAGGGGCTGGGATGGAATTCCCAGAGAAGCTGTGGCTGTCCCTGGGTTCCTGGAAGTGTCCAAGGCCAGCTTGGACAGGCCTTGGAGCACCCTGAGATAGTGGACGGTGCCTAAAATTGGAACTGGATGAGCTTTAAGGTCCCTCCCAACCCAAACCATGCTGTGAGTCTATGAGGAAAACCTGAGGAATTGAACTTAAAATGAACTTAAATTCCGGAGTCCAGGCAGGGTCACCTGGAGCAAGTGACACAGGAACATGTCCAGGTGGGTTTGGGATGTCTCCAGAGAGGGAGATCCACACCCTCCCTGTTCCACGGCCCTGCCACTCCATGCAAACCAGTTTTTCTGTAAACTGATGTGGAATTTGTTGTGTTGATCTGTCCTGAGCTCAGCCGGTCCGAGCATGGTGCTGACAACTCCAAGGCTGTGGATTCAATGTGAGCCATTCACTGAAAGGACTTGATCATCCTTGCCAGTCCCTTCCAAACCAGAATATTCTGCGATTTGGATTCTGATTTACCTTAGGGAATCTCTCCTCATCCTGTCACTGAGCACCACCGAACAGAGCCCGCCATCATCCCCTAAAACCCCTTGGAAATATCCGGATCCACCGGACCCCCTCTCACCTTCCTTCCTCCAGCCGGCCCCAGCTCCCGCAGCCTCATCAGAGACGTTCCAGCCCTCTCACACCTCCGCAACCACACTGACCGCTTACTTTATTTTATTTTTAAATAAAATTTTTCATTTTCTCGCCGGTTCGGAGAGAATTCTCCCCGTTTGCCGTGTCCCCTCACGTCCCACCCCGCCGGGCCGCACACGCTCGCTGTGGCCGACACGGCAGCCCCGCTTTGAAGAGCATTCTGTCAGTTTCTCCCAATTTCTATCAGTTTCTGCCAGTTTCTCCCCATTTCTATCAGTTTCTCCCCATTTCTGCTCGTTTTGTCTCTTTTCTGCCCGTTTTGCCTCGTTTCTCCCCGTTTTCCCCGTCCCCTCTGTCAGTTTCTCCCAATTTCTATCAGTTTCTGCCAGTTTCTCCCCATTTCTATCAGTTTCTCCCCATTTCTGCTCGTTTTGTCTCTTTTCTGCCCGTTTTGAGTCCTTTTTGGTTTCACACATTTCTGCTGCTTTAGGCTTAAAATTTACAGCTTGTCCTGATGGAAGGTGCTCCTGGTCCACGATGCGGCACATCTCAGAGTGACCCTCGGCAGTGAAAACCGACCCGGCTCAGCATTCCCCTCCCAGCCCCACTTATTCCTCCCTTTTTGCTAAGCTTTAGCCTAAACCCTCCACTTTCCCGCAGTAATTTCCTCAATTATCCAGTTTGTTTAACAGACACCCCCGTTTAATGTGGAATTTGCTGTAAAAGACCCCACAAAGGAAACCATTAGCTCCCATCTATTTAAATTTTCCTCTCCAAACCTCGTGGTGGCCGATCCAGAGCTGCAGTATTCCAGTGGCCTTTAACAAACAGCTGATTTTTCCTTCCCTATACAATGCACCATTATGTGGCATTTTTTTTTCTATTTTTTTTTTTTTCTCCTACGGAGAACAATGCGAGCAGCAGTGATGGGAAACTGGAAAAACAAAAGGGGCATTTAGAAGGGACTGGTTTAGAGGCTGGGAAGTGTTGAATAATGTTACACCTGATAGCAGATCGTTTCTCAGTGATCAGCACCGAGGTGTTTACTAAGGGGATACTCAATGTATGTTTACGCTCAAAAATGCTATTTATGAACTCCACGCAGCCAGATGTTTGATGTCTGTAAATTATTTAAAGTAAAAATCATGGCGGCATCACAAGCAGTGAATTTAGATGGGATTTTAGGAGGAAATCCTTCCCTGTGAGGGTGGAAGGGGCTGGGATGGAATTCCCAGAGAAGCTGTGGCTGCCCCTGGGTCCCTGGAAGTGTCCAAGGCCAGCTTGGACAGGCCTTGGAGCACCCTGAGATAGTGGAAGGTGCCTAAAATTGGAACTGGATGAGCTTTAAGGTCCCTCCCAACCCAAACCATGCTGTGAGTCTATGAGGAAAACCTGAGGAATTGAACTTAAAATGAACTTAAATTCCGGAGTCCAGGCAGGGTCACCTGGAGCAGGTGACACAGGAACATGTCCAGGTGGGTTTGGGATGTCTCCAGAGAGGGAGATCCACACCCTCCCTGTTCCACGGCCCTGCCACTCCATGCAAACCAGTTTTTCTGTAAACTGATGTGGAATTTGTTGTGTTGATCTGTCCTGAGCTCAGCCGGTCCGAGCATGGTGCTGACAACTCCAAGGCTGTGGATTCAATGTGAGCCATTCACTGAAGGCACTTGATCATCCTTGCCAGTCCCTTCCAAACCAGAATATTCTGCGATTTGGATTCTGATTTACCTTAGGGAATCTCTCCTCATCCTGTCACTGAGCACCACCGAACAGAGCCCGCCATCATCCCCTAAAACCCCTTGGAAATATCCGGATCCACCGGACCCCCTCTCACCTTCCTTCCTCCAGCCGGCCCCAGCTCCCGCAGCCTCATCAGAGACGTTCCAGCCCTCTCACACCTCCGCAACCACACTGACCGCTTACTTTATTTTATTTTTAAATAAAATTTTGCATTTTCTCGCCGGTTCGGAGAGAATTCTCCCCGTTTTCCCCGTCCCCGCCGTGTCCCCTCACGTCCCACCCCGCCGGGCCGCACACGCTCGCTGTGGCCGACACGGCAGCCCCGCTTTGAAGAGCATTCTGTCAGTTTCTCCCAATTTCTATCAGTTTCTGCCAGTTTCTCCCCATTTCTATCAGTTTCTCCCCATTTCTGCTCGTTTTGTCTCTTTTCTGCCCGTTTTGCCTCGTTTCTCCCCGTTTTCTCCCCGTCCCCGCCGTGTCCCCTCACGTCCCACCCCGCCGGGCCGCACACGCTCGCTGTGGCCGACACGGCAGCCCCGCTTTGAAGAGCATTCTGTCAGTTTCTCCCAATTTCTATCAGTTTCTCCCCATTTCTGCCTGTTTTGCCTCTTTTCTGCCCGTTTTGCCTCTTTTCTGCCCGTTTTCTCCCCGTCCCCGCCGCGTCCCCTCACGTCCCACCCCGCCGGGCCGCACACACTCGCTATACCCGACACGGCGGCCCCGCTTTGAAAAGCATTCTGTCAGTTTCGCCCAATTTCTATCAGTTTCTCCCAATTTCTGCCAGTTTCTCCCCATTTCTGCTCGCTTTGCCCGATTTCTGCCCGTTTTACCCCATTTCTGCCTGTTTTGCCCCGTTTCTCCCTCTCCCCGCCGTGTCCCCTCACATCCCGCTCCGCCGGGCCGCACACGCTCGCCGTGCCCGACAAGGCGCCGCCGCTTTGCAGCGCATTTCTCCCGTTTCTGCCCGGTTTTCCCCATTTCTGCCCGTTTTTCCCCTTTTTTTCTCCCGTCCCCGCCGTGTCCCCTCACGGCCCGCCCCGCCGGGCCGCACATGCTCGCTGTGCCCGACATGGCGGCTCCCAGCGCGGGGCTGCGCCAGCGCCGCCCGGGCCGGGCCGGAGCCCCCGATGGAGCTCCCGGAGCGGCCCCCGCTGCATCCCCCGAGCCCGGGCTCGCTACCGCGGCCCCGCCGCTCTCCCCGGGCACCTTCTGGCTGACCCGCATCGTGCTGCTGCGCTCCATTGCCTTCCTGTACTGTGAGTGCCGGGCGGGCGCTGATCCCCCCGCGGGGGTCCCCGAGTGGTGCCCGGGGAACGGCTGGAGCTGAGCCAGGGAGGGCTGCGGGAGAGCAGGGAGAGGTTTTCCCGTCCCCCGAGGGTGGTGGGGCACTGAGCAGGCTCCCCAGGGAATGAGAACATTCCCAAGGCTGCCAGAGGAGCCCTTGGACACCGCTGCCAAGCACGTGGTGACATCCCTGGGGATGTCCCGTACAGGAATAGCGGATCCTTGCAGGACCCTCCCACTTCAGAATATTCTATGATTTTATGATCGTTGTGGATCCTCTCCAGCTCTGCATATGCCATGGCTCTCTTCTTTCCCGCTCTCACTTTCCTGGTGGACAGGGGATGGCTGGCTGGGGTTGGTGATGCTGGAAGCTGGTGGAGCTGGAAGGAGAACTTCGCTCACACCACGAGGCTGGTACCTCTCAGCAGAGCTGTTCATCCTTCCATCACAACTTCCCCTGAAGTTGTGAGCTCACAGTGCAAGAGAGAAACTCTTTGTCTTCTGCAGCAGCAGGACTGCAGGGACAGATGCCATCCCTGGGTGCCAACACCACCGACAGCCAGAACCTAGAGTCAACATGACCTTAAAATATTCCACGGTGAAAGCAGTTTCCAGCCTCTGCCGTGCTCGTTTGCCTCTCGCTTTGGCACTCAGAGCTGTGCTCAGAGCCCACTGGTGCTCCGCTTAAAAATATTTACAGTGAAACCGAAACTGACAAGTAACACACTACGGTACAAATTCTAAACTTGCCCCAGATTTGTCCACAGAATCGTTAGAATTTGTAGCCTGCCAGCCTGCTTAGATTATTTTGCATCAAAACCATGCAGAAGTTGTAGTTTCGTATGGCTTTGACACGTGCTCTGGTTCTAGTTTGGTTTCAGCTCTCAGTGAAATGCGAGGTTATGACTCTTTCAGTCAAAATGAAAGCGATTCCGATATTCCCCCGTGTGTAAATCCAGGCTGCTGAGTTTCCCGTGGCTCAGTTTGCAGTTTCCTTATGAAAAACTGATTAGTGCTCTCTGCTGTGCCTTCGGTGGAGGCCGCTGCTGCCCGGGGTGGATTTGGGGTGATAAATTTGCCACACCTGGGACCAAAGGGGGTGTGGGGGTGGGAAGGGAGCTGGGGCTGGCTGGAGGGGTGGGAATTGGTGGAAATTAAAGGTGTGGGACCTTTGTGGTGAGTGGGACACCTGGGACAACGAGGTGGGGAACAAGGATCTGATTGGGGGTCAGGTGAGTTACAGGTGGAAGTGATTGAAACTGATGGGCTGCAGGAGAGAAGGAGGCTGGGAGGGGCTGAGCCAGAGGGTGAAGCTGAGCTTGCAGGTTGGTGAGTAAATGTGGGGGGCTAAAAAAGAGGGGGAATGCTTTGGGGTGGTTTTTCAAGTGGGAGAAAGCAGTGGGAATGGCTGGAAGTTGGGAGAAGACCCCAAAATGCCTCTGTAGTGTGGAGTAAGGAAATCTTTTTGGAGAGTGGGATGGTAGAGGGAGAGTTTGGGGTACTGAAGCCAGAAGGAGCAGGGCAGGAGAATGTTTGTGTCCCTTGTTAAGGGAAGAGGTGGAGGAGAGGAAAAGTTCACCTGCTTGTTGTGCAGCTTGTGCTTGGCTGCACTCAGGCCCGGGGGAGTTCTGCTGCTGGTTTGGGGTGAGCCAAATGAACCAAAGCCAGGAACCTAGGCCTGGTTTGAGACAGGTCAGATTCCTACAGGCAGCTGTGCTGAGGCTGGCAGTGCAGGAGAGGCGCCCCACAAGAATTTGTGGGGTGGAAAGTGCTTGTTGTGTGTGAGCAGGCAGATTCCCCCTGGATGCTCCAGCGGGAAGGAGGGTTTGCCCTTTGATCTCTTTGGAGTGCCTGGCTTTGGAAACAGCAGAAAACAATTCTGTGCCTCTGTGCCAAGCTGCTCTTGCAGGTTTTTTTCTGGAGATGGAAGCATTTACTGTGACAGCTGATTTTTCTCCCAGACGCGGCGATTCCGCGCGCGCCGAGGCTCAGACTCGCTGAGGAGACGGTTGATGCCGTTGTGACAGTTTGACATTCCTCAGCCGTGGGATGTTTTCCCCCCTTCTTTCATTTCACCCTTTTATGTGTAACCCTTTCCTTTCCCTTTCCTTTTGGGGGGGATTTGTGTTAAGGTGTTGGGGAATGTGGTCGGGGCTCAGCTCTGGGAGCCGAGGGATTGTTCCGCTCCTGGGTGGGAGAGTGAGGAACCTTGAGGATGAGGTGGAGAGAAACTCGATTTGGGGTGTGCAGTGCCCCCCAAAGTGAGCTCTGAGGGCTTGTCACCTCCTTCCTGCCCCCACCCCATTCCCAAGAGGGTGTTCATTGCCTGCTGCAGGTATGGGAGATGTTTTCCTTAGGATCCTCCTGCGTGGAAGGAGGACAGGCAGAGCAAGGCAGGTGTGGAGTGTCCTTCTGTGTGCCCTCCCTTCTTCCCCCTTTGCTTGTAACAACTCTGCCCTTCTTTTTTTGTGTCTTTTGAAGGGGTTTTCCAGAAGCAGCCCGAGCCTGGGAAGTCCCTGGCAAAGCAGCTGCTGTGTGAGAGGCAGGTTGGAGATGGGAGGTGGGAGAAGATCTGAGGATTTGGAGAGGTCAGAGACCAACCCCACCTGCTGCTGGCAGGAGTGGAAGGGCAGGGAAAGTGCATCCAGCTGAAGGGGCTCTGTGAGGTTTGGTCCTTACAGCATTGTCCTGTCCCTCTCTCCCTTGGAAATGGTCTCTGTGTGTTTCCTGGTGGCTCCTGCAGGTCCTGGAAGGCCACACTGAGGTCACCCCAAAGCTTCTTCAGGTCAACAGTCTCTCCCAGCAGAGCTGCTCCATCCCTCTGCTCATCCTGGTGCCTCCTCTGGACTCTCTCCAGGGTCCTCCCTGTGCTGGGACCCTGGAGCTGGAGGCAGCTCTGCAGGTGGGGTCTCACCTGAGCAGGGCAGAGGTTTGGCCAAGTGTCACTTGGAGATTTGCAGCTTTTCCATCCTGGTCTTGCCTTGTGTGTGTTCCCTGTGACAGGGATCGGTGTTTTGGCAATCCAGAAATACTCTGAGGTCTTGTTGGAAGGGCTCTTACAGGTAAATAGCTGGTCTCAAAGCTCTCAACAGCAAATGTGCATTTTTTTGCTCCCTTCACCCTCCTTCTAAATCATTTTTAAGTGCTCTTTTTGGGTGATTACCATCATCAGATTCCAGCTGTAGAAATTTCAGTAATTAGATACCACCCTCCCCAATCTCAGCTAGGCTCTGTGGAGAGCTTTGAAATAAAAGCTATTATTTAAATCCAGTTTATCTTCCTTCTCCTTATGTATTGTTTAATAGTATTTTCTTTCCCCAGCGCCAGAGCTACGGGAGGTTCAGGCTCCTTCTTCCTAAATCTGAAATCCAAAGCCCTCTCGGGGGGTTTGGCTTCCTGTAGGCTCCTGGCTCTCCCCGGTGTCCTTCCTCCTCTCTTTCTCTGCCATCTCCCCTGCTTTCTCTTCCCTCAGCTTTATTCAAAGGCTCCCAGTAGCTTTCAGCCTGCCTGCTCAGGATTAGAGAACATCTTCGGGCACTTTTGCTGCCCTGAGAGGTTTGATTCCAGCTCGGTGCTCCTTGGCAGGGCTGTGCATCACCCTGGGTGCTCTGAGCAGCTGCACCCCGCTGGAATGGGGGAAAAAAATTAACAAAGGTGGAGAAGGGAATCTCTCTCCCTGTCTTCTCCTTGCCCAAAGCCCCTCTGGAGCAGAGGGATCTTCCCAGGGCATCCTCCAGCTACAGGCTGGGGTGGTTTTGGACAGCCTGAGAGCCAAAGGGAAGCTTTTTCTATTTCCACAGCTTTTCAAACAAGGAGGCAGCAGAGAGATAAACACTTCAAACCCCCCGAGCAACCACCCCAAGTCTTCAGCTTGGCCGTGAAAGGCAAGAAAACAAAAAAGGTGTAAAAAACAGAGCACTTTGTTGTGTGTTTTTTGTGGGTGTTTGGCTTCACCCTTTTGCTCAGTGCTGTGGTGTTGTGCTTCTGTGTTGCAAAACTTTGCAGGGGAATTCATCAATTGAAAATTTATTTGATTCATTTCTCTGGTAATAAAATACCAGGAATATTCTGCTCTTTCTTCTCTCCAGCAGTGCAACCTCAGCTTGCAGCATCCAGCTCAGGGCCTGTTCAAATGCCTCGTTGGGTCAAAGGGGCACTTGATAAACTGCTCCAGGCAGAGTTTTTGTGTGTGTGCAAAATGTAGTTTGGTTTTCAGGCAAAGCTCTGTGCTCTTGGTTCAGTTCTTCTTGTGGTTAGGGCATCAAGGAAAAGTTAAGACTTCTTTTGACAAGAAAGGGGGGAAGACAGAAAAAGCCATATGACCGGAAAGTTTTGGATTTCACATCTTTAAATCTTTCCTGAGCATGAAAAATGGGATTCTCTCATTCTCACACCATGACAGGCTGAGCCTGGACTGAGGAAAAGGAGCTGAGGTGCCAGGGAAATCTGGATGGAGCGAATCCCTTGGATGGGGATGCTTGGGTGGTGGTTATTGGTACCATGTGGGGTTGAACACGCTGGGATGGGGGGAGAGGGGAGGCTGGGAGGGGAAGGAGAAGGTGGAGAGGGGGGGAGTTAATGGAAAAGTACAGTGAAGCACCTTCCGAGGTGAGGATAAGTAGGGAAGGTCTATTAGCAGCCCTGGTAATTTGCATGTATTATGTAAAGCTCAGCTGGCAGCAGGGAGAGCTCCCATGTGAGCTGTCAGAGGCTCTGCAGTGGGAGGCAGCCCTGGAGCTGCTCTGTTCCCTCCACCTGCACAGCCCCAGCAATGGCACCTCCAGGTGGAACAGGGGTCTGGGCACTCCCAGATCCTGGAATTGTCCTTGAGAAGCACAGGCAGTGAGCCCAGGGGTGGTAGGGTTTGTGACAGCTCTGGAGGGTGCAGAATCCCAGGGAAAAGCTCCAGGAGCAAGGGGAGGTGGGTCAGTGTGCCCCACGCCCGGCAGGGTGGTGATGCTGCCAGTCAGTGCCCAAAGTGGAAGCAAAGTTGTTTGAGCTGGAGGATGCAGAGTGAAAAATCCCCAAACATGAGGCCACAGGGAGAGAGGTTCCAGAATAAGGATTAAAGAAGAGGAAGGAGCACAGGCTTTGGGGGAGAAGGGACTTTTTTACCCCTTGAGCAAGCCACGGTCGAAGGGAAGGTTCCTGGAGAAGGCAGCAGGGTCTGTTACGCTGAATTTAAGGCTCCAGTTTCTCTGGGCTTCAGGGAGAGGAAGCAATGACAAGCTGATAAATAACTTCCCTTTTTCCCTCCTGGATCTGGGCATCTCCTGTGCTGCTGAAATCCTCTGCAGTCTCTGTCTTTAGTTTCAGCTCTTCCCCGTGTCCAGCAGCACAGGAACTGCTGCCTGAGGGGGAAACCTCGGGAGATGGAGCAGGGATGGGTGGAGGTGGGAGCTGAGCCCATCCCAGAGATGCTGGGGATGGGTGGAGAGGGAGCCTGGAGTGATCAGAGACTGAGCATGGGGAGTGTCCAGGAGAGGGAGCTGGATCCGGGCTGGAGCTCTGGGAATGTCAGCATCACCTGGCAGGTGATGGATCAAACCCAGGTGGAACGCTGGGGTTTGCTTTGGAGGAGGTGAATCCTCCCAAAATGAGGGCTGGTGCTGCTGGGTTTTAATTGTGGATGCTGCTGTGGGAAATGGATGTCCTGGGAGAAAACCCCTTTGGAGCCCGAGCTGGGCCATCCAAAATGTGCATTTCATGGCAACTCCAACCCGTTTTTTCCTGCCTGCAGGCTCGGGGAGGCTGAGCAGGATTTTGTCCATCCAGTGTGCGCTTTGCTGGAATTGCTGGTGTTTGTTTTTCCTAATTTACCCTTTCCTTGTTTGTCTCGTGCATGGCGCAGGGGTCTAATTTGGACTTTTTTAGGCAAAAACCTGCTCAGCATTTATGGGTTGGGGCAGCAATTCTGGAGCATTTAGAGGTGAATTTGATTAGCACTTTTGGAAAACTGTGCAGCAAATTGCAGTGCTAATCACGGGAAATCAAGCCACGGAGTTTTAAGGCAGAACTGGCTTTCAGTTGGCTTTTTTAGGGCCAAAAATGAAAATATTAAGCTGTCTAAAGCTCAGAAGAATTTTATTTCTGCTAGTTTCATGTCAGGCTTTCTGATTACGCAGTTGTGCTGAGCTGATTGTTGGTAGAAAAACATGGATAAAACAGAAACCAGTTAATTTGTGTCCCAGAACTGATCCTGTGGTGTTTGAATCAGCTTTTCTCATGTCTTTCCCCATCCATAATTGAATAAAATAATTGAAGAAAAATGTCTTTTATTTGTAAAATCATTCACTGTGTAGAAAAGATGGATGGGAAGAGACACAACCCATTAACTCCCAACTTTATTGTGCCATCCCTGGGGTCCAGGATCTTCTGGAATCAAAGGGAACCCTCCCAGTGACCTCTGCTGCGTGCTGATGATGACTTTTAGTGGTTTTTAAATGAGAATAAAACCCATGGCTGTGTGCAGAGAGCTGGGGGAGCGTTAAGTGGATTAAGTGGAACCCACTGGAGACCTTTGTCTGGGGAATGGGACTTTCAGTCGGATTCCCTGGGGCTGCAGACTTTGGGTTGCTGCTGCTTCAGACTTCAAAGAAATGGGAATTTGGGCTCTGATTTCACACAGCCTCTCCCCCAGTGCTCCCAGTGAGAGACACCAGATGAACACCGGGGTTGTTGTTTGCAGAATGCCAGCATTGAGATAAGGAAGGAAACAGATTTGATCATTAACCAAGGAAGATTGGGGAGGGGAACAAATTGGCTTTTTCCAGGAGCTCTGGTGCTGCTGCCCATGACGTGGCTGGTGTTTGGGTAATGTTTGAAGGATGGGTAAATGAGTGGATGCAGCCTAATCAGGAAATGTTGGCCTTCCTCATTTTTTTTTTTTTTCCCTGAGACATGGAGATTACTGGAGTTACAAACTGCAAATTGGTAACTGCAGGAGATGCCTAAAATATGAGATAATGCCTAAAAACTGCCCAACTTTCTCTGTAGGACATCAAATGCTAGGTCTATGAGCTGTAATTAAATTGCTGATGTGCTGTTAAAAAAAGCAGCTGGCTGCTCTGAGAGTGTCCAGGGCTGGAGCAGAAACACTATAAATGGGACAGCTGTAAGGACATGGAAAAGTGGGAATTTAAGGGGTGGGAAAGTGGTAAGATTTTGGATTTCCAACTTTCCAGGGTGTGAGAAGATGCAGAGGGTCAGAGCTGCTGTTCTGGGAAGTTGTGGGGGTGAAGCATGAACTCCAAGAATTGAGGGTGCTTTGAGCAGCTCTGGGGTCCTCAGCACAGGGAGGAATTGGAGCAATTCCAGAGCTGCTCCAGGACTGGAGCCAGGCTGGGAGAGCTGGGGGTGCTCACCTGGAGAAGGGAAGGCTCCAGGGAGAGCTCAGAGCCCTGCCAGGGCATAAAGGGGCTCCAGGAGAGCTGGAGGGGGACTGGGGACAAGGCATGGAGGGACAGGACACAGGGAATGGCTCCCACTGCCAGGGGGCAGGGATGGATGGGATATTGGGAAGGAATTCCTGGCTGGGAAGGTGAGCAGGGCCTGGCACAGGTGCCCAGAGCAGCTGGGGCTGCCCCTGGATCCCTGACAGTGCCCAAAGCCAGACTGGGCTTGGAGCAGCCTGGCACAGTGGAAGGTGTCCCTGCCATGGCAGGGGTAGGATGAGAGGCTCTCCAAGGTCCCTTCCAACCCAAACCATCCTGGGATTCTATGAATGCCTAATTAATGGTGTAGATGAGTTTAAGCTATCTAATTAACAACATTTTCTTCTATTAAGTGTTTTCAGTACAAGGAAATTGATAGATGCCCTGGTAATGTTCCATAAAGCTGGAGATCTCCTCCAAAGCCAAGACAGGATTTACAGAATTCCTTTGCCTTCTCCATTGAGGTCCATAGAAACCACAGAATCCTGGACTGGTTTGGGTTGGGAGGGACCTTAAAGATCCTCCAGGTGCAACCCAGGGAACCTTTTGTGGGGCTCTGTAGTGACTGTGTTATATTTTAATGGAGATAAGGACTTGGGAATAAATTCCTTCCAAGAATGACTTCCCTAGCACTGGATTCCAATCCTCTCCCTCACCCTGGGTGATTCCTCACACATTTTTTTCCCCTCTCCTTGTTCCCCTGCAGTCGTGGCCTTCCTGGTGGCCTTTCAGCAGAACAAGCAGCTGATAGGAGAGAAGGGGCTGCTCCCCTGCAAGCTCTACCTGCAGGATGTCAAGAAATACTTCAAGGGGAAGGTCGGCCTGGATGCCCTGAGCTATGCCCCCACTCTCATCTGGTTCCTGGACTGGTCTGCCATGGACAGCACCTTGGATTGCCTGGCCCTGGCTGGCCTGGCAGTGGCAGCCTTTGTGCTGCTGACTGGCTGTGCCAACATGGTCCTCATGTCCCTGCTGTGGCTCCTCTACCTCTCTCTGGTCAACGTTGGACAGATCTGGTGGGTTCTCAGTCCCTCTGCTCTGCTTTTCCCTTGTGCTGTTTGTGGTGCACATTGATTTTCTTGGTGCAGTTTGGATTTCCAGTCCAATTTGTGATTGTTCCTCACCAGATTATCCATGTAGGAATGTGGGATAAGGACAGCACCTGGCAGGGATGGTTTATGGACACAAATGATTGATGGCAATGTCCCAGCTCTGTCTTACCTGGGATATCTGTCCCGAGTTCTCCTCTGTTCATTGGTACAGGGTGTGATTTGATGAACTTCATTCCATAATTCCATGACCTTCCATAATTCCATAACCTTCAATGCTGTGTTATCCCAGCTGTGCAGTGCTTCCTCAGTCATTGCTTTTAGGGTGGTTTCTCAGCTCTGCCCAGGAGAGAGCTGCAGTTCTGTGCTTCAGACCAAGCACAGAAAGTTTGTGGGGAGAAAGGAGAAGCCCTGACTCCTGTGAATCAGCCTGCTGCAGGGGAGGGCTGTGGTGCTCAAATAAGGGGTTTGGCTGGTCCTTGCTCTTGTTCAGGCCCCAAATGTGCTGTTTGAAAGAGGATGTGCCTTGAAAGCCCCAAATCTCATCAGGTCACCTCCTGAGGTGCCTCTCTGCCTGCAGCTGAGCTCGTGTGGAGGGAAAAGCTTCAGGAGGTACCCAGGGAGAGTCTTCTCAAATGTTCTGGCTTTACAACAGGGCACCTTTTGCACAGATGGGCTCAGTGGGTTTGATTTTAAGGGTTTGCATGTGCTGCCCCTTCATTCCCATCCTACTCCAGCTGGAATGTAAGTGGGTGAAGGAGAGCAGCCTCTGAAAAGCTCCATTCTCTGAGCTCTGAACTCAGCACCAACTTAAAGCTGTGAGACCAAGCTACAGAGTTGGACAAATAACTCAGTGCATGGTTTTCCATTGCCTGTTTCCAAATTATTCCAGGGTTTCTTGTCTCTTTTCTAGATGTTTTAATGTCAAAGGGCAGGAATTCAAGCATCCTCCTGCTCTGGCTTCCAGAGGTACTGGAGCAAAACCTGGCTGTGGTCCTCCTTGACTCCTTCCTCTTTGTGTTTCTGTTTGGAGGGGAGAAAGAAAGAAAGAAAAAATCCCAACAGCCTCCCCCTGAAGCTGCCAAGGTTTTGAGGCTGAGCTCTGGAGCTGCAGTGACTCCAGGGCTGGAGGTTTGATCTCTTAATTCCTGGAGCAGTGGGATAATTAAGACAGGCTCTCTTCATTAGTGCCCACAGCTCTCTGGAGTGCTCCCTGTGCTGGTGCTGTAGAGCTCTTGTAGTTTTATTTTTTTTAAAAACCCACCTGGAATGTGTTTTTTCCCATGTCTTGGGGCAGTGGATGCTGTGCTGCTCCTCTGCTCCCACTTTTCCTGGCTTGAGGGGTGCTGGCTCCTCTGACAGTCCTGCAGAGCTCCTGAGGTTTTCCCAAAATAATTCCAGTTGTGCCTGGTGAGCTCTGAGTGGCTGTTTGGGCACCTTTTTTAAGGAAGAGGCAGAGGGTGGGGGGTACAGAGAGCCTGTCCCTCTCCTCACCAGCCCTTATCCAAATCCCAACTCCTGAGCAGGGGGAAGCTCAGGGATCAGTGCTGGGGTCCCCTCCCAGCTCCAGGACAATGATTCTGGCAGGAATGCACCTGGAGCTGGTTGTGCTTGAAAGGAATTGACTCCTGATAGCTGAGATAAGGCTGGATTTATTTTTTTTTTCCCCCTCCTTTGCTCCTTGAGGTTTTGGGGATGAAATTTAGCCTGGTGTACAACAACAACACACCAAGGGGGAAGGGATAAGAGAAAAGGGGGGATTAGAGGTGTTCCCTCAGCTGGTTTTCCTCTTGATTTCAGTGTTAACCAGGAAATGAGGTGGTTCTTGGGAAGGGCTGAGGGAGAACAAGCAGCCCAGCTCATTTTCCATCAGATCCTCTGGAATGGGTCAAAGCCAGATTATTCCTGTGCTGCCTGCAGTGTGACACAGAATTCCCTGGACAGAGGGATGCTGGCTGCTTCCAGCACAGGGAAAGAGCAGAGCAGGGCTCACTCCATGCTCCCTGTCCTTCAGGAGCTCTGGTGGTGCAAAGGGAGGAGCTCAGAGTACCCAAAATCTGCAGTATTGGCCCTAAAACCAAGGCTGGATTTAAAACCAAGGCTGGCTTTAAAACTCCTCCTCACACTGGTTTCTAGGTGGGGTTAGATGGTGCAGTGATTGTCTTGCTCCCAGTTTGGGGCAGGTTGAGAGGTTTTGGTGGGTTCTGTTGCTTCTCCAAAGGACCTGCAGGGAGCACAGCTCTCCTGGAGTGGGAAGGACAATGCCTGGCATTCCTGGAGTGATGAGGCAGCTCAGCAGAGAGGTCTCTGAAATGAGCAGGAAATTCCTCCTGTGGCCCAAATATATTTAAAAAATCCTTTGTGGCTCCAAATAAAAACATTATTTTGATTTTTTTTTTTTTTTTGTACAACCCTGCTGTCCCTCTTCACTGGCCAGCCTGGGCTCCTGTGAGCCACCCCCATGGGCTCTCCCCATCCACCAAAATCCTCTGCTGAGCCTCCCTGGGAAGCCCCTCCAGGGGAGACCCAGCAGGATCAGCAGGAACAGAGCTCTCTTCTCTAGGCCAGTGAGGGACAATTTATTCCTTTTATCGCCCTTTTGTCTATTTTAATTTTAAATGTCCCTATTTGTTTTGGGCTGCTGAAGGAGCAGCTCTTTCAACTGCTGCCCAGCTGGCTTGGGCTCAGCCAGGGGAAGCTTCAGAAGAGCAAAGTGTGGCCTTTGAAGGGCAGGACACGTTCCCTGCCTGCCCTGGCCCCACCTGGCAGCTGGGGAATATCCACGAGCCTGGGGACAGCACAGCTGAGGGCTTGGAGGGTCTCAGACCCCTCAAAAAACTGTTCCTCTGAGCTGTTTGCAGGATAAGGAGGATTTGGGCAGCCTGAAATCCCAAGAACCAGGCCCAGCTTGTGGCCCTTGGCTTTGCCAGTTCATTGTCCTTGACTCTCAACAGCCTGAAGTAAGATGCACTTTGGTGGTTCTCAAGTGGCCTTGCAGAGAAATTGATTTATTTTAGTGCCTGGCAAGTGTGGGGTTGAGATTGCCAGTGCTTTCCACCTTGAAATGTGGTGGGTTTTGTCATTCTGGGTTTCCCAAACCAGCTGTGGGTCTGGGCAGACAAAACCTGGGATGTGTTTGAGGTCAAGGCCACCCATGTGATGGTGTCACACTTCCATCAGAAGCTCAGTGTGTCTGCCTTAAAATACTGGATTTTTTTTTCTTTTTTCTCCATCTGCCACTTTGAACTTGTTCCTTTTGAAGTAGGAGACTGTCAAGAAGTTCAAAATCTGTCAAGGCAGAGGAATATTTAATATCTGACCTGTTGGGTGAAGTGCTGAATCATTATGTTCATTTTAATCTTGATTATTCCTGCCATTTCTGCAGTAGTAAAATAGGAGTAAAGTGACAGTAGTCAGTTTGAGTCGAGTAGAAGCTGTTTAAAGATGTTTTAAAAGATTTTTGTGGCAATTCCTCATAGTCCAACATCCATTTTGCAGCCTGCAAATCCAGCTTTTGTCCACAGGTCCCACGCAAATGGCTTTGCCTTTCTCCCCACTTTCTCCCTCCTGAATATTCCTATCATGGGTTTTCATCCATTTACACAAGAATATGGGAAAAGCTTGGTTGGTTTCATCAAAATCCTCGTTGCAGGTGACCCCAGGCAGCCTCCATTTGTGGTGTCCCTCCCTGTGGGATTGTGTTTGTGGGGATGAGCAGGACAAGCTCTGTGGGAGAGGCTTCCAGCAGGAATTAAATCAGTTTTTGTACCAGAATCACTAATGCACTTCTGAAATGACTGAGTAATTCTGGGATAAATTCACTTTTATCCCCCAGTAAGGTGTCTCTAGAGAGCTATTACATTTTCTTATAGAAACAAACTTTTCAGCTACTCTGCCACTGATCTCCTGTTTCTTCTCCTGTTGTTTCCTCCCTTCCAGCATTTCCAACTGGTATCTGAAAACCTTTCCTTCCCCTGGGTTATTGTGTTCCCAAAGCTCATTGCCCATTGTCAGACAGCACAGATTAAAAAAGAAAAAACAGCTGGAATTGTGGGATTTTAAATCCTGTTGCCTTTATTTTCTTTCAAGATTCTGGTTGAGTTACGGGAGCTCAAGGGAATAAGTTAAACAAGGCAATAAATAAAATGTTACAGCACAAGGTGGCTGCAAGGTTCTTTGTAGTGGGGTCTTCCCTTGTGGAAAAGGGTGGTGCAGCAGGGATTTTGGGGGCCAGAGGAAGGACCAGGCAGGAATTTGGGGGCTGGGAAAGGACGAGGCAGGGATTTTGGGGCCAGAGGAAGGACCAGGCAGGGATTTTGGGACCAGAGGAAGGACCAGGCAGCACCTTTTTATCCTTCAAGGAATATGAAATGTGCCCTTTGAAGCCCAAAAAATCAGTTTCTGCCCCCAAGTTCCTGGTGCTTTTTCACCTTTAGCTGCTGCAAGAGGGCAGCTTGGCAGTTCCACATTAAAGGACATTTTGGAAGGCCAAGTGTGCAGCAGGTCAGGCAGGCTTGGCTCTGAGGCAGGTGGTTTAATTGCAATTAAATGAGTATCCTCAGGAGTTCATCTGCAGCAGAGAAAGGGGAAGGGCTGGAGTGTGGTGGAGGGTTTGTGGGGTTTATTCTCATTAAAAAGCACTTGAACCATGCAGGGTTTAATCAGGGTGAGCTGAGGGCTGGGTCAGGCTGAGCTCCAGTGGGGCTCAGGAGATGCTCAGGGAATGTTTTCCCTCTCCAGGAGCAGGTGAGTGGCCATTAAATGAACCTCTTCCAGTGCTTTTTCCTCTTATTTTCTACACCTTTGGGTTCTGAGACTTTAGGTGCTTTGTCCAGAGCGATCCAGCCCAGTAAAGGTTGGAGACAGGTCTTTGAGTTTGTTACTGCAGGTTGGAAAGCAGCCAGGGTGTGAATCAGGGCTGGATTTGGCAAAACATTCCCATTTTTAAGCACTTTTATTTGTGACCC